TTTATTTATCTTTATAACCAAACACAATTCAAGCGTGCAATACCAATTTTACCTTCACCCTTTTTCCACCACTACAAGAAAAGCAATAAATCAAGATTTTCTTTAATTAAAACTTTTCCTTTTTAAGCATCTCAATTTTTATTCAAGGCCTTTAATAGCTTTTTCCTAAGTGATCACTTGCCTTTTAACATGACTACCAACATTTAGGATGAAGGTAATTAGTTATTTAATAAATCATCAACTTAAGGTGCTTTACATACTCATAATTTAAACTCGTTGTTTATTGTAAAAGTAAACATTTGTGATGAATACTCCTAATTACTAAGCAACTCAAATTATTATAGTAGAATTTTTACTTAATTAGGCCAAATTTTCTAATTAAATGCTTTTCAAATTTTTTGTTCAAATTTCCATAAAAATTAAAAAAATCCTATTTATTTAAACCATGCTTATGTCTAGTTTCCAAATGACACTTGCAAAGTCGGTGTTACTACCTAAACTATATTCAATCTAAAAGCACATAAAGTTTTCTCGGCATGCATTCACCTTTATAGTAATAATATCCTAAACAATCTTGATCATCTCATCAAACATTAATCAAGAAGAATATCATACTAAACCATGACATTCATTGCATCTTTTTCATTTTTCAAATTTTTTTATAGATAAATAACCAAAAAATTAAACACAAACATGCAAACATTCCTAAATCCCTCTCCCACACTTAAATGTTACATTGTCCTCAATGTAAATATAGAGTTGATCAAAGGCATATAAAATTAAAAGAGAGAGGGTAAGAGATCAAAAATGGAATTGTAGCAATCAAAAGAGAGGTGGAGGTGACAAATGGAAGGGAAGATTGAGACACATGCTCACGCTCAATTTAGTGCATAAATAGTGCCTTAATGTTTCTACCCGTGTCTCTTTTTTCTCTCTCTTGTCATTGTATAATATTATTACCCATACGAGCATATGGATTTTCACTTATAAACCATGTAATTTTTCACTACCCGTGTGCTCGTTATATTGTCTTGGAATTTTAACACAACACGAGATCATACAAGCATGCTAGAATTGGTGCACAATTCGTGTCCGAAACTACAGACTTATGCTTCCTCTTCTCCAAAGTGAACTATAAAGTGAAAAAAAATCCCACATGATCGTGCTATACCTAGTGTGCAAACCGTGTTTAAAGCCACTCGCCCATGTGGTCTCCCTTCCTTCTCCTTTATTCAAAGCTAAAAATACTTATGCTCGCCTTCATTCTTAATATCAAGTTAAGCATATGAAGAATTTGGAGAAAACTAAAAAAAATAAAATTAAACAATAAAAAGAAAACAAAATTCAAAATAAATTCAATGGGTTACCTTCTAATAAGCGTTTTTGTTTAACATCATTAGCTCGATGTCACCTTTGAAATAGTTAGAATGTCAAGAAACCACCAATTTGAACATAATTCCCCGATAACAGTATAAAATTTTGATGATGTGTCATGCCACTAACAAATTAGATATTTATATTTTTCTCACGGAATCCAACCACAAAGGTGTAGATAGGATAAGTAAGGATCAAACCCATAGGAAAGTGGCCTAATTAATGGTCTCTCTTATCCGAGTGTTCTATAGTGCAAAGGAATTAAATGAGAATTTGTGTTTATGATTAACTGTAGGCAATCAAAAGTAAAATTAAATAACAATAATGGGAAATGTCTTGGTTAAAGTTACGTATCCACTTTTGGATTAGTCATTGATCATTGATTCAATTATTAACCTATCCTTAACATGAATATTAACCGTAGGACAACAACATGTATGTTGTCTCTAGTCTTTTCTTACTTAGTTGTTAATCGAATATATGATATCCGATTAATTCCTTAGCTATTGAATAACCTACTAATCACTAAATAGATTTAATTCAATAGCAGCTTTAATCGGATAAGATAAGTGAAGCTAAGCCACCTCCTAAGCACTAGAAAGTGTAACCTATTTCTATATTTTCTAAGGAATTGAATGAAAACTTAAAAAATAATAATCAACCCGTAGTTACTACCACGAAAAAGTTTAGACAAGTAATTATACGGATTTGAATACTTAGCTAGCACTAAGTTAATATGATCAAACAACTAACGTACACTCTAATCAATTTAATCATATAACTATAAACTAATCATATAAAAAAATATAAAATACTCAAACAAGATAAGTTTAGAAATAAAACTTGTTAATATCTCACAATGATTTAACCAAAAGCTTCAACTTCCCTTCAACCAAGAAAAGGTTTCTTTAGAGTCGTAAGGTTTTCCTTATAAAAGAGGTATGGCTATTAGAATTGAAAGATTCATGAAAATAAAACCCTAGCTTTTCTATTTATAGCCAAAAGTAAGGTAACAACACATACATGGCATGCCCACATGGCTTGTTGTTGTAACAAACGACTTGCTTGACTAAGAGGCATTACCATGTGCCATTTACACTTTATTTCATGTCTTTTATTGCACTTCATCCTATATCCCTAGCTTTTTCCTGTGTGGAATTTGCATTTCATCTCATGTTTCTAGCTTTTTCCGTATGGAATTTGCGCTTCATCCCGTATCTCCGAATTATCAACTTGAATGAACTTGATAAAAACTGAATTAGGGTTTGTGTTCTTCAAGAAAGTTGTATACCTATATCTCGGATTTCTAATACATTAAGGATTTCATCAATTGGATATCTATAGCTTAATTTATGAGCTAAATATCGACACCAATTAAACCTATTCGTCTAGCCTTAGGATTCTACTTTGTAGCTGAATTACTCTATAATAAAGACCTATTTTTTATTCAAGACCTTATAAGACTTGTAGGTATGCCTCTTAAGTATTCCATGGACTTGGCCTTGCATCAAATAGAGTTCTGAAACTTTAGATATGAATTAAACTCCACAATTGATCCGGACTCGAATGGAATTCGAATTAGTTTTTTAGATAAGAATATAAAATATTTTTTAGAGGTCCAAATGAACTTGGATTTTTACCCACTATATCATTCTGAAAAGATTGAGATGTTCTCTACAAAGTCTTTGAAGACCACTTCTTCTAAATCTAACTCTAAGGCTTCGGAAAACCTAGAAGAAGTTCGAAAGGTCTAAGTTAATCAAGTTGGACATCCACACAGTTTCCTTCTTTGTTTCACATGGCCAATAGCTATTTCTTCTTGTATCACACACAACCATGTGTCTCCTTAAGCTTCCTTGGTGGCTTTTGTCTTCTCCTTGCTTTTGGCTTGGGTTTCTTACTTCAATTCCATGTTTTTCCTATAAAACTCGAAATCGTCATCTTTATCTTAATTTTCTAAATATAGTATAATAAATACTAGAAAGTTCAATGTAAAAAGCATAAAAATTATGTTAATTATGCACTCATCAATGAAACTCTTATAAGTTGGCTCAAACTACAATCGAAGCTAGATCAAACTATACTAATGGTGTATTGCATAATTCGGTTGGCATCTCTACAGACGAAGGGCTCATTTGTGCTATATATATATATATATTTGCATGGTTTCTTATCACATAGGTTTTTGCTCTACTTGTCCGTAGAGTTATGGGACATCATTGTTGAATTAGAATTAACATGGACTCTAGGCTTTAGACAAGTTCAGCTAAAAGTCGATTCCATGGTGACAGTTCAATTTTTGTATTCTAGTTATGGTAGTCGAGAAATTCATTATTAGTTGATTTACAATATTTACAAGGTTCTTCAAATATCTTGGATAGTTTGTCTATCTCATGCCTTTAGAGTGGCCAATCATGTAGTAGATTGGCTTGCTTCCATGCCTATTTCCTTCCATTTGATATTTCTTATTTTCACACTATTCCTTTGGATTGTGTTAGTCTTCTCTTAAAAGATATTTGTGAAGTTGTAACTCTAAAAATGTGTAAAATAAACTAGTATGTTTAGAGTTGTGTTTTTTTAAAAAAAAATTTATATATAAATAAAAGTTACAACAAAATAATATATATTCCCGACGCACATAATAAGATACAGGCTTTGCATATGCGTTAACTAATATAAGTATAAGGCCCATTCCACGGCCCATCTTTTCCAATTTTCTTTTTCAGTAACAGAAAGGAAACCCATTAGATCCCAAGAACTAAAATAGACCAGCTAAGATCTTATCATAACCTCATGCCATCTGATTCACACCAGAGCAACCATTCAGACCTCATCAGAACAACAGCCCATGCAGGTGTGACTAAATATAAGGACATGGCTTTTACCTTTTTTCTCTTTTTTCCAACCCTTTTACGTACATGCAACCAAAACCAGAGGGAAAAGGAAGTTAGCTCCGGACAGTGGCTTTGTTCTCAAGGATGACATTTTATTTTTACCCCATCGGCAAAATATTCCACACCGCCAAACTGATTCATTAATTTTATACGAAACTATTAAGTATTTTGATTTATGCAGCCACACTTCATGAACAGTACTATAATTAAAGGCACTGACGTAATAGTGTTATGCGGGCCTTCTGCTGAGGCCGGCCTTTCTATCCCTATCTTCTGTTCTTTCACCATGTTACCTTATTGGGGAATAAAATGCCATAGCATTTTAATTATTTTTTTTTTCCAATTCAATATTATTATATCTACATCAATTTTACATATAGCAATGGCAATTGTTGTGTCGATTAAATTGTTCATACTATAGTGGCATAGGTAGCACAGTCCTGCTTGGTGCAATAAATTGCAAAAGGTAAAGAAGGGAAAATAGTAGCTAGTTGCATCTTATATGTTACCAAATCAATGAACCATAGAGAACAAACAAAATGCAACCAAAGCAAAAGTTGTAAGAGATATAGATATCCCTCATCAATTTTATATAGAGGAACACAATTCTCACACTTACATAACTTTATCATAATATTGATTGATGGAAAATATAACCATCAAAAACTCTTATATTTCTTCATCATTCTACTAACCATCAGATTTTTCACTAAAAGAAAAAAGTTTCTATGTTTAAACAGGACTAATGGTCTCACGTACTCTTCTTCCATGCCCAGTGAGGAAGAATCTTCCGCTAGAAAATGATCTCTTCATGGTAACAGGATTGAGTACACAATGCATGACTCTTCTGCTGCTGGACATGCATTTGCTGACTTCTGCTGAATGTTTTGATGATCCCACCTCTCCCGAACAGTCTTCTACTTGAACAACTTCATCCTGATTCGTCTGCAAAATATCAGCGACGGAAGCGTGGCTTTGACATGGATGATCCATTGAAACTGATCTCCTAATGCGTTGATATCCATCAATATCTCGCATCTCAATTATGGTATCTCTCTCTTCCAAGTTCCCCAAATCACTAAATACGCGCAAGGGAGTCTTTGGAGCCCCCGCAGGATTCTGCATCACTTGCTCATCTCTAGCAACCCTTTCTGTGTCTTGTGTAACAGCCACGTTTTCATTAGCTCGTTGGCTGTCCTGCAAAGAATCGTTGCCTTGAAGGGTTTCAGTCACTGGAGGAGGCAACTGAGGCAAGGAAGCACTAAAGAAAACAATGTTGGCACGACACAATGGGCAATTCGAGTGAGACCGGAGCCATGTATCAATGCAAGGTAAATGGAAAGCATGGCTGCACTTAGGCAAAAGCCTTATGCTCTCGTCTTCTTGAAATTCGCTGAGACAAACTGAGCAATCTGTCCCTTCAATCAAACCATCTCCCTTTTTGTACTTGCATACTGTGATGGACCTTATAAGAGCCTCATCTAAGCCAGTTGTTGCAGCATGCCAAGGCTCGTGGAGAGATGGGTTCTGATCGTCCTCAAATTCCTCATTTTGGCCATGATTTTGATCCCTTCTCCTTGCAGAATCATTGTTTCCACAGTATTTAGATATTATGGTGTAGTAACTTACTAGAAGGAAAGCACTGGCCAGTATGCCTATAATGGCGATGACAAGAGGAGAAAAATTTGGACTTGAATTGTCATCAGGGAATTCAGAAGGAGGTGGAGGAGGGAAAATGATGTAGCACCATTGTGGGCAATATAAGCTACAAAATCCTTGAGAACAGTCTTTATTGTTCACGTATGGAATCCATGTTTTTGGGGTGCCTAGTGATGCCATGACAAGCCTACAAACTCTAGGACTCTAAACTATTAGCAGTTCTGACATAATGCACACATTCTACCACCTAGCTTATGCTACAATGTGAGAAGAAAATCATTTGGACCATTTGTAGTAGATCTCCAAACAAAAGAGCCTGAAAAAAAATCTTTTCACAACTTGGTGGAAGAAACAGTGGAACAAAAATTTTTTGGTGAGAATTGGTTTGAAAATAATTTGATAAAACCAATGATTCTGATAAGCCGTAAGAAAGAAAAATTAATATAGAGATTACCTTAGAAGACTTGTATTTGGAAAGGATGGCTGGAGAGTTTCTTATTAATGATAATGCGAAAGCAAAATATTATGAATTGATGTTGTACTGTTGTCTAGGTGAGGAGAAGAAAGAACAAGAAGAACAGAGAGAGTTCCAAATGATAAAAATTTCAGAGACCACGGAGGAAGGGGGTTGGAAAAGCAGGGGAAAGCAGAGTAAAGAGTGTTGATAAGAGTTCTTCCTTTTTCTTTTTTTAGGTTCATCGCCTTTTCTTTTCTTCGCTATCTTTTTCTTCTTTTTTTTTTTTTCTTGGGGAGATAATGGTTTGTTGACTAAGGGGGCGATGCTGGTTGGAGAATTCATTAAAGTAAATTAATGCTTTTATTATTGTTCAAGACAGGTGCAGTTGGGGTGAGTATGTATGTACATGTAGCGAGGGAACTCCTTTCTCATTAATATGTGAAATCTCACTTGCATATATGCCCATGTCTGTCCGAACTCCGAAGTAGCCAACAATTAACCAAACTTTTCCATTACCTTACAAAATAGGCTGTCAAATTAGGTGCAAAAGCATCGCAAGTGCATTTTACCGGTGAAGTTTTAGTCCCATCGTTTCTTTTTTCCCTCTCTGCAGTTTCCACACAATCAAGCCACAGAGAATTTCTAACAATTGGAGCCGATAGGATATTGTGATCTTTTTTTTTTTTTTTTTTCCTTCTTGTCCCATGGATTAAGAAATATGAGCTTACTTGGAGGGGTGAAATGAAGTGTGGTGTACTACTACCGTAGGCAGGCTTTCTATTGTTGCGATATTAAAAGAGTGAAAAGGGCGTAATACAGAAGAGAAAAGAATATTTATGGGGAGGCCAAGACATAATCATTCAACACACTGCAATGCTCCATTGTCTACTCACAGTGCATCAAAGTGCTGCTTTGTGGACCCAAGTAAATGGTCTTTCGATTCCACTTGAGAGAAGCATATATTCTCCCTATTGACTCGAAACCAACACCTTTTCCTTTACAGTTCAACCGAGGTGACTAAGGTTCTCAACCACAGCCAGGCCTAAGGAAATCACAAGACAAAAGTCAGCAATTAATTGGTGATTTCTTTAAAAAAAGGCCCCACATACAAAGTACCAGAAATCACCGTAAATTAACATTAAAATGAAATTCAGTAGGTTCCTTGAGATCGTAATTTTAAATCACAAATAGTAAATTATTATAATATTAAAATAATGTTAACGATTTGTTCCGAAATCATTATATAACGATCGTTATATATCGTAACGTCTGTAATTTAAAACTATTTTGAGATAAATTGTCAAGACAAAGACACAGCAAAGACTGCTAGATATGTCATTGCATTAGCTCACATTCCAGTCAATTGAACAAACTTTAACGAGTCATGTGTGAGAACCAAGAACTATCTTTCTCTCTAATCAAGCAACCACCTCTTAACCTAGTGGACCTTTTCTCTTCTTTTCATTTGTTCACTTTCTCAGTGCTCTAGTACCCTTCTCCAAAGTCGCACCCAATTCCACACCCTTAGTTACCTATAATAACCCTATATACTTGCATACTAATATTAGATTCTTAATCATCGCAGCCAATTTTGCAATTTTCTATAAAGTTCCACGCACACACACACACCTTAACTTTCCATGATGTCCGTGAACAATAGAAACAAGCAAGGTATCCCAACAAATGTGGCTTCAATGTCCTGTGTTCAATTTTGCATTACAAAATGCTATTGAATATGAAACCACCTCCTTTTTCTTTCCTCAATGTGCTCTGGATCATTAAGTGAAAAATATATCTTGATGCTGACTATGATCAAGATGTCATTGAACCTCTAACCGGTAACCAATTAATCCTTTTGAGAGAAAGAGAGAGCATACGATTCCAATCAAGGAAAATCATGTCATTTTAATTTTTAAATGTCATATGCTAATCAAAGTATATAAAGAATCAGATGGATTCAACACAATCAGGATAGATCTCAACAATAAAAGGAATAATATATACTCTCTCAAAAAATTATTCCATTTTTACACAAGAAAACTATTAACTATTACGACATATCAGCATTTTTTATTTACTTTTTTCAAAAACACCATTTTTTTAAAAAATTGCATTTATACAATCTTTTTATAAAATAAATTTTAATTAAAGATATTTTAATAAAATACATCATTTAAAATTTTGACCAAACAAAACATAAATAAATAGAAAGGTTGATAATTTTTTTAGAACAGAGGAAGTAACATATTATCAACTTAAGAAGACAGAATATAATATCCTTTCTTAAAAAACATAAACTTAGATGTAAGGACACGAATATTTGATATATGATTACAAAAGTTTTACGCAATAAAAAGGATGAATAACAATCACTGGATGAAATACGGCAATCATATTATTGCTAGGTACATGGTAAAACTAGCTAGAACAGCATTTGTGACGATATAAAACTCGCTGATAATGAGCTAAAATGTTACACTTGTGAAGTGAAACCAATTGACGCTACAAGGAATGATATTTTTTAATATGAAATTATTGAGATTTAGGGGGAAAAAAGTATCATTAAATTAGGGCAATTGAAGTGGCCTGAACAAGCTTTAATGAGTCATGTGTAAGAACCAAGCACTCTCTCTAACCTGCCAACAGCCAACCACCTCTCGAATTTATGGACAAATTTTCTCTCCTTTATCACATTCTCAGCGGTCTCCCCCTCCCCAAAGCCACACCAACCCTGCGTCTTTAGTGCCCCATAATAGCCTTTTATGCTTCATACTACCGGAAGACTGGATTATCTTGATCAATGTAGTCTTACTTGAAGTTCCAAACGGACGTCATGCAGATATCCCATGATGCCCACAAGCAAACAACTAGAAGACAGATACCTCAAATGTCGATTTTATCTCTCAATAATATATATATATATATATATATATATATATATATATATATATATATTTTTAAATCATGAGACCATGGAATGCAAGAGTACGGCCCCCTCCCTCTTTCTGTACTATGCCCTGATCATAAGTAAACACAAAAATCAGCTCCCAACTGCGACAAGATAAGCTTGAACCAGTAATGTGTGAAGTCCATCTTGAGATGGAGCATAAGATTCCAATCAACTTAACCAAAAACAAAATAAATTATAATCATGAAATAGAAAGTCTAAATAGCATCAGATGGATATAAATTATCATAACAGATTGGAAACCATAACAAAAAACGATTTTAGCATATTATCACACGAAGAAAAACTGCAATGGTCTTTGTGATATCAAACAATTCATAAAAATCAGAAATATAAAACATAATCATGAAAGTCCATGATGACTTTGCAGCCTAAAACCAAATAATGAAAGAGGCTGTGAAGCAATCAATTGTCATTTGCAAGTTTCATAGGAACACTAATTCAAATGCAAATATGGGTAGACAAAACAAGAGTGATAACGACAGTAATCTCAAGCTCCAGTGCAGTCAGAATCAATCACAGCAAGTCAGCAGAAACGAACAACACAGTTTAAACCAATTGTACGACAACAGCAGGAAACCCATAACAACACTCCAAGTAGCAATTGAATTAAATGAATGCCTATGAACATACTTCATCAAGTGTGAAATTGTTGAAACAGCTTTTACCAGCCTATCAGCCAAAGCCCCGAGAGGGGGTGCGTATTGGTCAGACAATTTTGTTATGTACCCACTAGAAGAGAAACAAGAGTATGTGAAACACGATTGGTGCACGAATGTATTTATAGCCACCGACAATGATATGTAATTTGCCCCATTTCAGAAAGCAAACTTAGCAAGACTAAAAGTAGAGAAACTACTTGCGACGAATCATTTCACAGAGACAGAAAACAAAGAAGGAAATTAAATAAAGGGATTATTAAAATTAGAACATTTATTTTAATTAAGAGAACATTTATCTTCGAGGATTATATATATTAGAAGATGAAATTCTCCATCGTTCCCCACATTCACCAGTGAAAACAAGTCACAAGCTAACATTCCCATGAAACAGGGCACTTACAACTATCTTGAAAAAGGCAACATTGCAACTGCAAGCTACCTGCTAGAAGGGAATTTTACTAGCCAATAAAATTTCATCCTTAACTTTGCAAGCTACAAACATGTAAAAGATCAAAAGATTTTGAATCAACCTTGAGCAGTCCAAACATTTATTTTTCACTCCAACCTCTTCAGAATTTACTTGTTTGCAGCACCTAAATAATTTCTTTAGCAGATGATAGAAACACACCAAAAAATCAAGTATGCAGTATTAAACATAGGCTTTAAAATAAATTTCATAAAAGCTTTCTTTTCTTTCAATTTGTTTATTCCAATTTTTCTTCATTATGGAGGAAAATTCCATAAGGACATTATACAGTTCTTCTTGATTTTACGCCCAGAGGATGGCCTAATAGAGGTAGGCCTTCATCCATATTTTCCCCTCCTTGGGTAAAATTGAGAATTAATCATCAGTTTCTAACAAGAGTTCTGGAATCTTCATGTCATCTTTGCCATGGACCCGAAGATTTATGTGAAGAGAGAAGCAATACATTGATAGTCCCTCACAATTTCTCTTCACCTTGATGCATGAAGAAGCCAACATTTAATTTCAATAATAGGCTTCAAAACCTCAAAACAAGCTCCAGCTTGCATAAACAAGCATTCTTTCTCATTCAATCAAGCATGCACAGTTTTAACAGGTATTTTATTTCTAACATCTTGGCATGTTTGACCAACTGGTACAGATGACACAAAATGAAAGAAATGAAAAAAGAAGATAAATGTGGTAGAAGCACCTAAAGTCATGTTCGACCAAAGAAACTTGGAAAAGCATTACAGAAAAAAACAATGGTAGAAAAGAAATTCAATTATGCAATTATAAATTAAATATATATATATGTTTGTGTGTGAAAAGAAACATATATCAATATTGAACAATGTACAAGCAGGTACATTTATATTCACGAGTGAAACTTTTCCACCATTACAAATTGAAACAACGATGAAAAAGAACTTCAGTCATGTAACTATAAATCTTTAAAAAAAAGTAAAAAGATAAAATATATATCAATATTTAACAACATGCAAGCAGGTAAATTTATATCCATAAGTGAAACTTTTGCAATTCAGTAAGATACAAGTGAAAGAAAAATAATGTCAGTCTTAACAAGTCATAGAATGTTAAAGAATAAGAGAAGAAAACGCAAAACATACAGCTGAGTGAGAAGACCTTTCATCACTTACATGCATGGGCATGATTAAGAGTCCTAGCTGCTATATTTGTACATTAATCAGCAATCCTAATAGTGTCAGGATCTATTTCTCTTCAAGTTGTATCTCAGAACTTTCTTCGTCTTTCTTTTCAGTTCCAGATCCATCAGCCTTATCTTCACTGAACTTTAAACGAATCGGCCGACCCATTAGTTCCTACAAGACAAATAATGAAAAGATCATATATCTGTCCCGACTGATTAATCAGCATTCTGATATCTAGCCACAAAAAAAAAAAAAAATGCTGGCAAATTGATGCAAAAGCAAAACTGCAAGTCTGACTCTCAAGAAGACACAAATTGTGTTTAGATGGAAATAAGAACTTCTCTTTCTACAACATGGTAAATGGACCTTTGGCTCGATCAATCCCTGAAGACATGCAAACCACCATCTCAATATATCCAGGTATAACGTGGCTTAGCTTGAAGACCATGGGTATGTCCATCAAGGCATCATTTGCACCAGTGGGTTTTGGAACTCAAGATTACACTGCATGAAACACACATCTCCACTGCCTCTAACTCTTGAATAATCAACGTTTGTAAACAAACTTTCCAACCCATCCTTATACAACATCACTAAGAAGCATTAATTCTTTCACGATTCCAATTAGCTTTATAGTTTCTGATTGCATTATACTCAGTAAAAGATATAGTTCCAAAGCACAAAAGGTAGATAATTAACAATCATATGGCTCCACTTAGTAATACCAGACCAAGAAAATTTCAGGACAAGAATTTTTTGTTTATTTATCTTTTTCCTAAGGTTAGAACTGCTAATTGATAAACTTACATTATTTTCCTTACCTTCGTACTTAATTTTTAAAAAAAAGGAAAGAAAAGGAAAAATTCCAGAAGATGCACAGAAACACAAAGTTGGTTGAAAATCAATAACCCAAGTAGGAAAAAAAAAGTAATAAAACCTGAAAAATATTAGCAAGGAAATAAGAACAAGGAAACACGAGCAGAAAAAATTATGAACGAATATTAAGTAATGCAACTCTGCTGCTGATCCAGTCCACCCCCTCTCAGATTGTAATGAATCTAAACCTTATAAGATCTAAAACACCATAGATGAGAGGAAAACCTCCACAGAAGAACCATTCCTCAAAGCAACCACCAGAAACAAAGCGCGACAATAGCTCAAGCAACCAATTGGCTTCTAAAGTAGTGAAGCTACAATTACATCATTAACTTAAACACATCCAGCCAATTGATATCACTAGCTAGTATTTTGAGCCAGAACAGAAATTAAAGTGAAATGCTATCACAACAGATTTATGTTCTACCTTTCCATTCAAAGCAGAAATAGCAGCCTCTGCTTCCTCCCTTGTGGCAAATGAAACAAACCCATACCCAGTAGATCTTCCTGAAGGGCCATCAAAGACAACCCTACTCGAAACTGGGTCAAAATTAGTGGAGAAAAATTCTCTCAAATGACTACCTCTCACTTTCCATGCAAGATTAGAAATGTAAAGCTTATGGCGTGTCTCTCCTGCAGGGGTATCGACAGGAGTGCCTGGAGGGCGTGGAGGAGGAGGTCTCCTAAGTCGCTTTGCAAATTCCACCCCAATAATCCTCCCTGACACTTCCTGCAACAGAAAAGATCCTAAAAATCAAAAGCATGTCGCTGGAAATATCCAATATAATATGGAAAATGGTATTAACTTGTACACTTTTTATGATAATCTACGATGAGCAGTGTTGAATATTTGCCAGAGTCTTCAAACTAGCATTTCAAGGAGTGGGAAGGGCTAAAACAATGCACTAGAGAAAGATGAAGAAAGAGAAGCAAAACACACAAAAGCTACTCAAGAAACAAGAAATTCATAGATAACCTTAACTCCCCAAAACTTCAGGACTTTATGCTTTAAAACGTTTTGATTATCAGCACGAAAAAAATCTCTCCTAACCATGTGGAGTTGACCTAACGGTAAGAGCTTGCTTGAGTTGTGTGGGTTAAGCGTAAGTCTCAGGTTTAATTTTCCTGGCATTGTTAGGTGCAAACAATTCCATGTTAAGACACACCTCCAGCCTGTGGTCTGGGATTTATCCAGTACGTGCAGGTGGGGAGTTTGGCAAGTACTCCAAAGATTAGTCAAGCCAAATGGTACCTAATTTATTAATTAAAAAAAAAAAACACTCTCTCCAAATCCAATGCACTAGACAAGCAAAACCAAGAAATCTACTGAAACCTCAAAAATAAGCAGAAGACACAGCCCTTAATGTTGTGTGGCCATAAAGAATTTAAGTAGCTCCAGCAAACAATGAGGATAGAAGTTTCTCTTAAATTAGAGCACACCAGCCAGAGTCTGATAGATTCTCATACTTTAGCATTCCTCCCAAGTCCCAATATCATAATAACTCTCCAGAAAACACAATTGATAGAAATTAATAAGGTAAAAAGTCTTTTCCTATTCCCTTAAAACCACAATTTAAAAGGAACTCATTTGAACTTGTCAGCTAGAAGAAAAGTTATGTAATTCTCATTACAAATCCTACCACCGGAAGTTACACCAAAATGAAAAGCATATTATGATAATGCTAAACAAAAGTCAATTCCTCAAGCTCCATCAGAAGTTAGGAAATCATATCGCAAACAGAAAACAAATAATAGCAATTAAAAAAAAAAAAAAAAGCAAGGAGAGCAAAGAAAAGAGACATGCATAAGAATTAAACTTATCAATAGCAGCCTGAGCTTCCTCCCCGGTAGTCATTGTCACAAAAGCAAATCCCCTGCTTCTCCCATTCTTTTGCTTTATAATCTGCATTTCAACACATAAAAACCACAACCCATATTAGAAAATCATTTAAATCAAGAAATAAAGACAGAAATTTCGGAAGGAAATTAAATAACCTCAACATCAGATACAGTCCCACATTGGCCAAAAAGGTCCTTGATATCAACAACAGACAAAGACCAAGGCAAATTAACCACAAAAAGCTTTCTTTTAAATTTGCTTCCTGGGCTTCCTCTTCCTCTGGTGTGGTCTCCACAGTGACTTCTTGTACAGTGGAGCATAGTTGAAAGCAGAGATTTTTACTTGGGCGGTTTTTGCTGAGAGAAGAGAGAGGGAAATTGTGGGAAATGAGAGGGGTAGGATTAGAAAAGTGGAGGTTTAGGGTGAGTGGGGGTTGTGGTGGTTTGGAAGATAAGAAGAATTTGGAGAAAGAAGCATGACAGAGCGAGAAGAAAGAGAGTGGTGCTGCTTCTAATATTGATGCCGCCATTGTTAAGATTAAGATGACAATAAAATAAAAACATTTTAAAGAGGAGATGGAGAAGATAAAAGAAAACGAAAAAAAAAATAAGGTCTTGGTTTTTTCTTTTTCCTCCTACAGATAATGTGACAGGAGTAAATTATAAATTAGTCCCTCTAGTTTAGAGCACCGAATTAATTACTCCATCTTCTTTTAAAAACTGATCATTTAATTTTTCATGCTTTAATTCCGTTATTAACTTAGTTAGTTTATTAGTTTTCATTAAATTAGTAATTTTGATTTCAAATTTTCATTTTTTCATGTCTTATTTTCTCTTTCACCTATTATTTTTTTCTCTTTCCTAATCCATCAAAGTGATTTTGTTCTCTCCGCAATCATTATAGTAAACTCTCTCTTAATTTTTTCGGCTAGCTAATGTTTGAGAAGAAAAAAATAGATGAATGAGAAAAATAAAACATCTAAAGAAAGATAATTTAGAAATAAAATTACTAATCTAATAGAAAAGTGATGAAATGACTAAGTTATTGATGAAATTAAAACATAAAAAACTAAATAAATAGTTTTTAAAACAATAAAGACTAAATAATTCATTTCTCAAAATGAGAAGAACTAATTCACAATTTAGTCAACATGACATTAATGTATTCTCTATTTTTTCTTGAGAGTGTGTCCTTCTATTAACTCCTTTTGTCGGATTAATAAAATTTCATTAGATGATTAAAGTTTGACTATTTATGTAGTAACACATGTTGCTTAAAGGGTAGAAAAATAATTCTCTAAATAAAATCAATTTTTAAAAAAAATTTTATTAACTTAAAATAATTAATACATATTATAAATCGTACAAATTAAAAAAAAATAATTAATCAGTTTTTTTCAAATTTTTATTAAGTTAAAATAATTAATAAAATTTTGAAATTTTGAAATACATTTTTTAAATAATTTTTAAAATTAGATTTTTAAAATAGCTTATTTTTACTTAATAAAAAATTAGAAACAATTAATAAAACTTTGAAATTATTTTTTTAAAATAATTTATTTTAACTTAATAAATTATAGAAATATATATGTTTTATGATTTTATAATCGTAAATTTATTTTAACTTAATAAATTTGTTACGGTCTAAGCCCACCACTAAATGCCTTCAAAGACCAAGTCTCTAACGAGTAGCATTTGTTTCCTACAAAATCTCCATTTTCGGTTGTTATTTCCCTTCGAACAGCTTCTTTTTACTTTAGTATTTGTTTCCCTAAGAATAGTTCTTCCCGAGTTGTTATTTCTTTCAAAAGAGGTCAATCATTAGGAATTGATATTCTTGATTCTTTATTAATTATCATCGAATGTTGCTCTATATAAAGGAGCTTTTGAATTCAATAAAGGGAGATATAAAACTTTTCAGCCAAAGTGTTTATTTGTTTCTATATATTGTTCTCTTTGCCTTAATAACTCTCTCAAGATAGCTCTCGGTAGGAATATAATACATGGTCGTGGCATAGACCTTAAGGAGATCTAGTTATGTAATCATTTAGTATTAGAGCATGGCATGGGCGACGAACCAAACGACCGACGATCTCTTATGACTTAAGTACTAAATCGAGAGTCTTAGCAAGCAAATGATGGAGTTGTTTCAAACAATTCAAATAAGAGAGGAGACATCTATAAGTCATTCTAGTCCGAGTACGATGAACCACTAACGGGGCTAGTGTTATTGAGAATTTTGCTCCCAAACTGGTGAAACTAGACTTTCCTTGATATAATGGATTCGGAGATCCCACACTCTAGATTAGTCTAGTTGAGCAATTTTTTAACTTTTAAAACACTCGCCATAAAGGAACGAGTACGTTTGTCAACTTATCATCTAAAGGAGATGCTCTGCTATGGGCCTAACACCAAAGGAATTACATCCGAAACTCACTTAGCGTAACTTGAAGGAAAAGTCGGTTAAATGATTTGGTACATCTAATTATCAAAATTCTTTTACCGGCTTATATAAACTTAAGCAAATGGATGATAGACTACTAGTCGAGCATGGAATTTTTCGGATGAAAAAGAGGTACGAGCTCTTATTAGCGGCTTAAAGGTATAATTAAGGGTGGATGTGCCGACCTAAATGCCACCCACTCTCAATGAAACTATTAGGCTAGCCCAAATTTTTGAAAACAAAACACCTATGGCTCGAATCCTTCTGGGTCGAAAACCTTTCAAGCCTAAGCTCAATGAGCCCATACACAAGGTGATTCCCAATAAAGCTATTTGATGTTTAATAGACTACTAGTCGAGCATGGAATATGTCGGATGAACAAGAGGTACAAGCTCTTATTAGTGGCTTAAAGGAATAATTAAGGGTGGATGTGCAAGCCTAAATGCCACCCACTCTCAATGAAGTTATTAGGTTGGCCTAAATTTTTGAAAACCAAACACCCATGCCTCGGATCCTTCTTTGGCTGAAAGCCTTTCAAGCTTAAGATCAATGAGCCCATACACAAGGTGATTCTCATATGGAATAGTCCTAAAGGTCTAGTTAATCAATAAAGCCATTTTGCTCTACATGCTCCAATTCTTCGTTTCACCCTCATGAAACTTCAACAACATCACCAATATAGGTTATGCTTCCACCGTGATGATCGATACACGATCGGCCGGGCTTGTAAGAAACTTTTCTTTATTAAGTTAGAGATTGAAACCGAGGCTGATTCCAAGCTTCTTCTTGTCGATTCTATTACTCTTGAAATCAAGCCTTTAGAGATATCACTCCATGCACTCACCAACATTCTCACTCCTTAAACTATAAGGGTGCACACCGAGTATGGGGTAGGATTTTCACGATCCATATTGACTATATTTCAACCCATAATTTCTTACAAAGGAGAATTATAAAGGCTAAAAATCTTCTAATTGACCCGAGCTACCCATAAAAGTGATGATAGTTGGTAGGGACAAGCTTGACAATAAGGGGTTCTACAAAGGAGAATTATAAAGGCTATAAACCTTCCATATTGATTTTCCGCTTCTACTTTTGGAAGGTTGTGATTTTATGCTTGGACATAATGACTTCTTTAGACCCTATTCTTTAGAATTTTAGAAACATAAAAATAAAGTTTAAGACAGTACCAAGGTGATTACATTAAAAAGAGTCATGGCTTTTGAGGCTAAATTTGTTCGAAAAAAGGAAATGAGCAAGGCTTTATAGGAGACTCGAGGGGAAAGGTGCTTTATTACAAATATCATTAATCTTTAGTTAATAGGCCACAAATTCAAAAGATTGACGGAATATCTAACATGAATTTTTAAAAGTTTTTCACAAGATATACTATTTTACCTCCGAATAGAGACCATAACCAAGAAATTTCAATAGAGGAGGGCGATGAACCGGTAAGTGTCGGACCCTTCTAGTATCCCCACTTCTACAAAAGAGAAATAGAAAAATTAATGGCTGAAATGCTCACTTAAATCCCGATTCGACCCGGTAAAAGTTCATTTTCCTCTCGAGTGTTACCGATCAAGAAGAGTGATGGCTCTTGATGGTTTTGTGTAAACTATAAAGCACTAATAAAATCATGATTAAAGATAAATTCCTTATACCCGTGATTGAAGAATTATTAGATGATTTGAAGGGAGCAAAGTGGTTCACCAAGTCTGGACCTTTGATCAAGGTACCATTAGATACAAACACCACAGAGATGTTGTAAAAGCTGTTTTTCGCACTTACCATAGCCATTACAAGTTTTTAGTAATTCCTTTTGGCCTTTCAAATGCTACTTCTACCTTTTGAGGCTCTTGTGAATGATATATTTCAATAACATTTGAGTAAATTTATGTTAGTCTTTTTTTATGACATATTGATTTACACACTACAAGAAAAGTAGCAATTACCGATGAATTTTTTCATCGCTAATTAGCCAAAATACGTCGCTAAAGTTGCTTAGCGATGGTGTTGTGATAAAAATTATGTTCATCGCTAAACACTAGCCACTACTATTAGAGACGGTGAAAAACAATTCGTCACTAATATAACGATGGAATTTTTTTTGTAAACAAATAATGTATGTCACTAAATTGATCACCATCGCTAGTGTCATCGATGTTTAATAATCAATAAGCGATCACTAATATCCAAAGCTAATGTTATCCATCGCTCGACATTGCTATTTTATCATTGAATGTTAAACAAATCCATCGTAATTTCGTTGGTATTAGCATGAAAATTCATCACTAGTGTCATCACTAATTATATTTTTAAAAAAATTAAAATTTTTATATTTTATTTGTTTTTTTTAAATTAATGATATTCTTGGTACCAATTAACAATTAAAAGAAATAACATATTATTAAAATTTAAATATTATAAATTAAATATAAATTAATATTAACAAAAAAAAGATTCGATAATACGTATGAAAGAATAAAAAACAAATTAAAAAAAATAAATTGTTTGTTTCGATTGTCATCCTAATCCTCTAATCCCCTATCTTCCGCTCGGGACTCGGTGGATGGCTAGATGAGAGGTCGGGCGAAAGGCTCGATCGCATGAATAATGGAGTCTCGATTGGTGGATAAATCTATAGGCAATCTAGATATCCGTGACGACCTAATCAATATCGAGGTCATCATTTCATATTGAAAATTAAGCCTATGTATAGTACTTTCGTTGCTTTGTGATAAGGTTTTACAACTCGTGTTGCTTGACTTGCATCCTTTTCATTGCCTTTTTTGTCTCCTCATACTCGTTCGAATGTTCTCATTAGAAATATCATCGGTATAATGTCATGAAACAAATGAGAAGTTTGCTAACACACGAGTGGAACAAATAATGCATAGCCTATATGTCTATACCATATACCTTTTTCTTTCTCCCCTATAGCCTCGAGGTATATGGTGTTCTTGTCAACCTCTAGCTCCAAGATTCTTCCACCTATTGCATCACATTAGCTTCATGTATAAGCTCTTCAACACACTCCTGCGTAATCGAAATAATGATATCATTAAAAGATTAAAAAAATAGATTATATATATATATATATATATAAATTAAAATTAAAAAACAATCATCATTATTTGTTATAAATGCGGATCGATAAAAGAATCATCTCGTCGCTTATGAGTCGCTTGAAATAGCTTAAAACTTATTGGCTCACGACCAATATTGTCTCCCGAAAAAAATGAATCACAAATAATATGATATAAAAATTTAAATTTTATGAAACATGTAATTAATAATAAAAAATGTGCAATTTACCAAGCGATGGGTGTGTTCTTCGAAGAGATAAAGCCCCTTGTATGCTTGAAAGAACTCGCACCAAGACCATCGATCTCCGATAATCGACTCCACTATGCTTGATTTGAATAAGCATTACAATCAAGTTTTGCAAAATCTTATTTCCATGCATCCTAAACCTCTTATCTAATAAACGTAGGTCGTTCAACCAACAAACCACACTTATAGACAAAGTTGACATAGTACTTTCTTGCCAAACCCTCCCATGCTTCTCTAACAAATACTTCGATGGTCGAATCCCAATTAAAATGTTTTTATAAGAAAAAATTAATATTAACAACTTCATTTAATGATAATTTTTTTAATTATTTAAAAAAATTAATAATATGTTATTCTAAATTCACCGAAGTAGAATTATTTGGTAAGGTCCGAGACGGACTTTCACGTCGATCCATCGACGTCTAACCGCTCCTTAAGAGTCATGGTTATCTTCACGAGCATAATCTCTACTAGGCAAACCGAAACTATTGAACATCAAAAGAAAAAGAAATTTTTTTAAAAAAAATAAAAATTATTGAAATGATATACATTGAATTTAAGTAATTACATACCGCCCTCGAGGGACGGAAATATGTCATCGAATGGAGGAGCTTTAAGAATTATTTGGAATGCCAAATACATCGGTGTATAGGACACTCTCCGAGGTCGATGCTGGAACCTCTAGTGCTAGTGTAGAAACCTTCGATGCAAGTACATGAATCTCTAGTACCAATGCGAGAACTTGTTTGAACGGTTCATCCTATATGGCCGAGCCAATGTAGATGTGCTAGCTACATGGTTGAGGGAGCTATAAGATCCACGTAAAACCCATATAGTCAAAGATCCTCGATCGATGCTAGTTGAGGATCCTATTAGGCTGCCATCGGACAATGATGTTAATCTACAACTACTAGAATATGATCCTATAGTGATTATAGGGTGTCGGCCCAAACCACGAGTCATTACTCGAAATATATAAGCTTAAATAAATAAATAAAATATAATAAATATATTATCAATATAAGTCATTACTTGATACACAACTTGTTTTAAATACAACATAATTAAAATACATAACCAATATTTTGAAGATCTATGAAAGTAGGTATTATTTATCGCATTTAACAAATAAAGAAAAAAAATATTATTTGTTACTAATACAACAAATAAAATATATATTTAATTAGAACTATCATAATCACTCGTTTAAGTTATCATCCGACATATTTTCACACTCGGTCTCATCGTTTTTATCGGCCACAACTATTTGTATATCTATAAATGATCCATTTATATCATTCAACAAAATAACATCATTGACTTCTTCTATTAATTCGTGTCGAATTTTTACATCGTCCTGCTGAAATGGTTTAGTATTTTATTGGACAGCATTAGATGAATCGAGCAAGTCCAATACAAACCTAGGTTTAATCTTACAAACAACCTACCAATCTCGATTCTCATACCTTAAGTCTGGGTTACTCGATATAATAGACTCGAGCCAACTTGTAATGTTAGGAAAAGTAGTTTATAATTGTTCAAACTTCTCTTATAGTTAACATCTATAAGTTTGTACTTGCAGATAAACCTTGCTCCTTATGGAGTATGATCGAACTAATCACATTTGAACAAAATTATTCTATTGATTGATAGTGTAGGATACTCGCTTCAAGAATTTCTATTAGTATCCCTATAATAACCACTCTCAACTTATTGTAATTAGTTTTTTTTTAATATAAATATAATTATTATTTTTTAGGATAGGTCATCCTTCACAATAAAGTCTGTCGCATTTTATTTTTTAAGGCATGTCATTCTTCATAACAAAGTCATCACATTTTACTTTTCGTCCTTTATAACAAGATCAATTTATTTTACTTTTCGAGTCGGGCCATCTTTCACAACAAGGCCATCGCATTTTCCAAGAAAAAAGGTATCTTTGAGTGATTGATATCTTTCTAGAGGTATAACTAACTTCTTATATTAGAATCTACGAACTAGTGTCAATTTTAAATTTTCTAGCTCCTTTAATACCAAGTGGCAACTCTAAAAATGTGGTTTCACTCACATCTCCAATAAATAAATCAAATAAACTATCTTTAAATGAATTTTTTTGGAAGTTCCCTAAATGTCGGATAACGAAAAGCACTATCCCTTTTCTAAATTAACAATAAATAAAAATAAGTTGTTTATTTATGGCATATTTTATTTGATCTCATAATTGAAAAGGTAGGTAAGGTATTTGATATTTTTCAACGAGAAAACATTATGCATACATCACACCATCTTTTTTATCTAAAAAACCCCTATCACATCTATATCGAGATCAAAACTTAGAGTTTTTTTTTAAGATAGTTACTATCATATGTGAGAATGTAGATATATTATCAAATACAAGTTATGATAGATGAAATTCAAACTTTCAATTTTATGAGTGAGCATTATATGAAGAATTTACTAATCATTACACTAACACGTTGTTTATTTATTTAAAGCATATCAATTAATCATATCCACATTTTGATCAGTAGAATTTACATTAGTCCATATATACAAAAAAGTTTAGGTTTTTTCTCATAATTCTCTAAGCCAATATAAAAGAGATTTTGTTACAATTCATTAAAATGAAGTGTCCGGTACTCCCAAATAATAAGGTTTTATTTATATTGAACCGAATTATAAGTTTAGCATGTTTCAATCGAACATGCTAAACTCATCTAAAAGACTCAACATAAAGGTTGAAATAAAAGAATTGGGACATAGAAAATTTATACATATTATTATGAATTCTTTTGAGCTAGTCTTAATTAAGAAGATTTTGGAAGAAAAAAAAAGGATTATAAGATGGTTGAAAGATAGTTTGCAAGACAGTTTATCTTTCAAATTTTAAATTAGACGGCTAAAATTATCAAGCAAGATTGTCCTACTGTTGTCTCTAAAGATCCTTCAATGCTCAAAATGAAAAGTAATTACTATCCGCACTAGAATGCAATGACCTAAAAATTGTTTAAAAGGATTTCTAGAGTCATGTCTAGGATACCTGGACTACAAGGTTGAAATTCGAATATACTATAAATGTAATAACTAAAAACTACTATCGAAGCAATATGCAATCAATAATAATCAAGTAAATTAAATCTAATAACAAATATGTGAATTACAAATTGTAAAATTAAGCGAAAATTGAAATTGGTGTATACTAAATCAAAACTTCTTTACAAACAACAACTCTTTGCAATATACGAAAAGTTACGGACATAGAAATTGATGAGCAAAGATGCAACGAAAGTAAAAACCAAATCAAAGATTTATGGATCTACCAAGACACTACTATTGCTTACTATTATTACCTATTAATTATGTTTACCAACTATAGTCTATTGTATTTTAAGTGTTGAAATGATTTAAGGGATGATGTTGATAATTTGTAAAAGCATTGTTGTTATATGTGTTTGTTATGTCTTTTGCCTAGTTGCAATTGGTATTTATAACCTTCACATCCCGCTACATCTTTCTTTACTCGGTCACATTCTTGATTTGTAACATATCGTAACATCTTGTCTTGCGTTACAATACTCCATGTTTGTCTTGAGTTGTAATGTTTCATATTTTTTGGTATATTCACTCATTCATTGCAATGTTTCCACATCTATCTTATTTTTGGCTTATGCCCCAATCGTTTGAGTTACTCATTCACTTGTATTCTTGTTACTCTTTTCCTTTTGAATAGGACTTAATTTTTCACATCTTTTGTCTATGATGTAATTCTATTTGGAATTGTATTAAATCTTACTCGTTATTAAAGTATAGCGCTCTTTTAAGGGTTTTTTTCTTTTTATGAAAAAGCTTTTTTTTTTTTTTAATTTAAATTCACGAGTACATGAGTTGTTGCAATTTTTTTTTTTTTTTTTTTGGGAGGGGGTATCAACGTGATAAAATTATTATGAAGAATTTGTCCATGCAACTCATCCCCCATCACCCCATTCCCCCCACCCCACCCCCAAACAATCTTTTTGGATGATGATTCAGATTTTGGAATGATGTATGATATATAGAGAATAATGATTCTATAATATTTAAAATAGCATATGATCAATAAATAGAAAAACTAAAATAATGAATTTCTTTTTCAAGTTATCCTTGTTCATTCAATGTAGAAAATTAGAAATTTATTCATTGAATCTAACCTTAATATCATGATCTGTTTGAAATTTATATAATTAATTAGCTCCAAATATTATTTACTAATAAATTGCATGCGTGGTTTCATTACCCTGACAGCAAAATGAACATGACATGATTTAAAGGTATTGCCTTCATGGCTATGGCAATTCTTAGGAGAGAATCATGGTAACCTTTTCCAAAAATAATTGCTTATCTCAGTTTGAAGGAAATGAGAAATGTTATATTCTATCACTAAGGAAAATGTATAGAGAAAAGGATGATAGTGATCTATCCATTTAGTTGTTTAATTAACAAGTTAAAGAGATTTAGGAGTTATTTAATTCAAAGTAGAAGACTTAAAAATTACAAGTGAAGGATGAGAGAGATCGTTTCGATTGTTCACTGGGTCGATATTCTTCTTGCCAAATAAAAATATCTAATCCTTTATTATTATTTTTTCATCCTCATCTTCTCATCCATTCCTTCTTCCATAACGCCGGCTAACAAACACAGTGTTTAACATAGTAACCAAGTGCTGATAATATATATATATATATATATATATATATATTGTTTCGATTAAGGCTAATTGTTCGATTTTTTATTCCGAACCCAAACCGATTTACTACTTTTTTTTTTTTTTTTTGTCAAAACCAAAATTTCGGTTTTTGATTTTTTTTTTGGTTTAAATCGATTTTTTAAATAATTCTTTTAAATAATATAAATATATATATAAAATAATTTCAATCCATCATCTATTTATAATAATGTTAAAGTATTAATTTTTTGATTAATTTACATTATTTTAAAGCTTAAAAAGATTAGAAAAATAAAATAAAAATTGATTTTTGATTTAAACTGAATCCAAAATGTCAAAAATCAAAAAAAAAAAAATCAATTTGATTTTTGTTTTTTTTTTAAAAAAATTAAGTTCAGAACCGATCCAAATTGATATTAGCTATTGGTGGGAGAACTGTCCATTCTTATCCAGTAGGGCCCACATATGATTTGGCTAAACTAGAGCTCCATCACAACGAATAGTGTTAAATTTATCAACAAAATTGGTATTCTTATCATTTTTTATATACAATTACTAATATGTATTTCACCAATTACTAATAATTATTGTATAACAATTATTAGTGCAGGGTATATTAATAATTTTCTGAAAAATAATGGTGTTGAATTTGCCAAATGCATTTCATATGTTTTTTTTTCTCTTATATTTATATATATAAAAAATATAGGTGTTTTAAACTAGAGTTAGAAACAACAAAACCTTCATTCGGTGCCATATACATGGCCTTTATATCAATATAGAAAATTATGATATTTTTTTATACTTTTTTTCATGTTTATATAATAACATAATTTTTTTATATATAAATGTGGTATAATGTATTTATCTTTTGCAAGTTAAAAGTACAATACTGTTTTTAGATAATTTTATGAACCGATACAACAATAAGATTATCACAAATACCAAACAACGCATAGATGATTATTAAATTGTTAATCCAACTATAAAAAAAAAAACCATAATTGTAAGGTGGAAAATTAGTTATAGTATAGATAGAAATTTCCATTTCCGACAAATTAACACTTGTTTCAGTTCTTCATTGAAACAAAAACTGAAAATGCAGAAGAAAAACCCTTTCTTGTGTACAATGTTACGAACATCTAAACTTCCTTGTCAATGTTTGCAATTATATATATATAATTTCATGACAATTAAGCAATCCAAGAAACAGGAGTGATATATATAGCCTTGTGCAAATTATGTAGCTAAAGGCACTAAAACAAATGGTAAAGATGGCAAATGGTTGGGTACAGTTTGGGTATAATAATGTTCAACTCGTCACCCATCTATTTTTTAATAAATGGCAGAGTGACCTCAACTCTTAATCCAAAATCTTTTTTTATGAAAAAGCTATATGTCGAAGTTGGGTTCTATTATTTAATTTAGTTGCAGTATTTTAAATTTGTTTTATTGACAATAAATTAGAATATTTTTTACTTGGTTATGTAATTTACTTTTAAAAATATGTATATTTTATTACTAAATAATGCCAAACATTAAGAAAATATAATATTAAAAAAATCCAAGATACTTGGATCACTTAAATAAATAGAACTTTCAATTAAATCCAACTTTGAAACCATGATCCAACGATCCAAATATATTTTAAATTTTTAGTTTTTATTGTATTTTCTTGGTAAAAAAAACTGGTATCCCTGAATCACCTTGCTTAAAATATTTGAGTGTGTGCAGATTCACAGTTTTGAACTTAATTCCTTTAATTTTGTAAAAGATTGGGATGCATATAGTTGCGTACAACTAATTTAGTTCTGTTTCCTTTCTGTTCTTCCCTATCTTATACACGGCATCCCTTTTCAAAAAGTTTTGCAAAGCTCAAAAAAAAAAAAAAAAAAAAGGTACATTTTGAAAATTTGCGTAACTTGCTTTTAGTAGCTTTCATGGATCCAAAGCAAGGAACCTGAGAAAGGTGGGCCATATGACTTAAAAGAGATCCTGTAGACCGTAGTGGCTATTTTTCAACATTTCTCACTAGTACTCCACCCTTCCTTCCGTTCTGATCATTATTTTTAGCTCCAAGAAGAAACAAAAACCCAACACAAAATCACCACTGAGAATCCTCTCACACTAAAATGGCACTGAGCAATAATGTTATTGGTGCTATCAACTTTGTTGCCATGCTTCTCTCCGTTCCAGTCATAGGTGCTGGGATTTGGCTAGCAATGGAACCAGACAACTCTTGTGTCAAGATTCTACAATGGCCTGTCATTATTTTGGGAATACTAATCTTGATAGTAGCTCTTGCAGGCTTTGTAGGAGGTTTTTGGAGAATTCCATGGCTCCTTGTTTTTTATCTCATTGCCATGCTCATCCTTATAATATTGCTTGCATGTCTAGTGGTTTTTATCTACATGGTCACTGTTAGGGGCTCAGGCCACCTTGAACCAAGCAGAGCCTACTTGGAGTATCATCTTGATGATTTTTCAGGTTGGCTTCGCCGAAGGGTTCAGAGTTCATATAAGTGGGATCGGATAAGAAGCTGCCTTAGCTCAACTAACATGTGTGCTGAGTTGAATCAGAGATATCGCATGGCTCAAGATTTTTTCAATGCTCATATTAGCCCCTTACAGGTTATTAAAGTTATTTTTCAGCTTTCATTCTTATTCTTTTTTTTTCCTTCATTTTTTTGTTTCTTTATTAAATTATATATTTTTTATGCTCCCAAAATTAATTTAGAAGAAAGATGCCTTTCAATGGCACTAATCTTTCTATGTGGTGGATGCAAATTTTTATTTTCATAGAAAAATTAAAATCCGGAAACAAAATAAATTCAGTTTTTTTTTCTTTCTAGCTTCTACCTAGAGTTAACAGACAATACGATCATCTTCTTCGAATAGATTCACAGGAATCATAACATAATCGAAACACGTCAAGTTTAAAATTATGGTAATTTCTTTTGGTCTTTTCTTCGTCAATATAAAGAAACGGAAGAGATATAGTTGAAGGGCTCGAGGTCAATTCTTGGCTTCTTGCCAAATAAAGATAAAATAACAATAACAACAACAGTAATAATAAGGATCACATAATTCCGTTATGTTCAAAACTGTAAATTTACTGCTAAAATGTTAATGTATCAAACTTAATTATGAAGGTTAAGTGTTATTCGTTCTGAAAGTTTATTTCCAAATAAACAGCTTTTGTTTCAATTACTCTAAGAAAGAATAACCTTTATCTACAGCTAACGTTAATTTTTAATGAAGCATAGAATAATAAAGTTGATTAGATACTCCTGACCATGTGATAATCTTCTTTATGCCTCCTCTTTATTTTTTCTTTCTTTTGCCTTTTTATCTTTTGACAGTCAGGATGCTGTAAGCCACCAACCCAATGCGGGTATACGTTTGTGAATCCAACGTATTGGATTAGTCCCATTAACAATGCTGCGGATATGGACTGCCTGCAATGGAACAACGATCAAAATCAACTTTGCTACGGTTGCGATTCATGCAAGGCCGGATTATTGGCTAATTTGAAGAAGGAATGGAGAAGGGCAGATATTATATTGCTCATTACTCTTGTTGCTTTAATATGGGTATACTTGATAGGTTGCTGTGCTTTTAGGAATGCCAAAACAGAAGATTTATTTCGCAGATACAAGCAAGGTTATACATAGAACCTAATTAATTAGAGTACAAATGCTGTAATGTTTGCATTGTAAGGTAGTAATTGTGTTACTGGCAATATTGGTTTTCCTTGTGTTGTTTTTGCTAATTCTATAAGTTTTGTGTAAGAAGATTATTTAATTTCCTGCTTAAAGTGTGTTGCTTTGGGGTTCTGATGTGCTTCGATTCTAGTGAAGAAAATTTGGGTAAAGATGTTAATAGCAGTGCGGAATTTGCGGTGAGCACCGAAAGTTGATTGCTTTTTGTATTGCCAATTGCATGGAGGCATGAAATTCCAGAAAGGTGACTTTTGAGGAAAGCTTCAGCGTTTCAGCCCCTGCAGCCTTGTCCCATTCTCAGCTGGAGTTTGACAATATGTTCCCGTTTTATTAACAAACTTGAAGTGGGTCATATGGCTCATGGGTTCATGCCACAGGCCACTGTAACATCATGCTTCCGTCTGCCTCGCACTCCAAGATTAAAAACTCCATCGGTTTCTATTTCTTTCCGCCTTTTTCATTTTCCAAAGGCTTTATCATTGAATAACAATAATCCTTCTCTCATGTCTTTATTCGAGTATTTGTAAATTTGCTAATTATTAACTTAAGGCAATTGTTTGGGCTTGCTGAAAATCACAGCTCGTATTTTTTTCACTTCCAACATCTTTTGGGGTTACTTAACGGATTAGAATCTCCCATAAACGTTTTTCCTTCTTTTTTTTTTTTTTTTTTCCCTCCAATTACCTCATAGTTTCTGATTTATTTTAATACTATATGAGTTAGGGCTAAGCTGTAGATCAAATAGAACAAAATCACTCCAATTTAATAGTTTCCGTTATATTGCGGTTCTATCAAATGCTACGGGGGTTTATTTAAATCATGTGTTAGTTCTTTTAATTAAAATATTATTTTAATTATTTTCTTTCAAATTAGTAAAAAAAATTGACAGCAAATGATTAATATTATGTGTGTAGATGCATAGTTAATTTTTAATAAAATAGATGATTTAATTTTTTTTATATACATCATGTCTATATTTAGTGGGTTGAGAGTGTGAGTACAACCTGAAAAATATTAAAAAAAAAATCAAATATAAATTATCTAAATTGCACAATTAACCTTAACATTGAACATATATTTATAACCATGTGACCATCATGTAAAAAATTTAAGAATTCATATATATATATATATATATATATATAAAGAAAATAAATCAGACTTATCAATAAATAAAATTTTATAATAAAAAATTTTATTGGATGAGAATTATCTTAAGAAAAGAAAAATTAAAAGAAAATTTTTCAATAATAAGAATAATATAATATGAAATATATATTTATTTTAAAAAATAAAAAGATATCATGTACATTTCATCCTTGTAATACTACATGGAAAGCATACAAACTAACGTCTGATCTTTCATAATTTTTGCCTAAAAATTCTCAATAAAAATGTTAAAATAAAATGTAAAAAAAAAAAAAAAAAAAAGCAGCTAAAGCACAGGTCCATGCACTTGGCCCGGCTTAAAGTGTATCAGACAACTCGTCGTTCGTCTGCAATTCCCAGCCACCTCTAGTTGACTGGAAAACATGCTGAAAAAATGAGTTTTGTAGTTTCCCACCATATTAATCCAAATTCAATATCTATTTGCCCAAAAAACATCTTAAAATCTCACAAATAAATTCCATAAACTCTTTTAGAGTCTTAAAATCCATTTTAATACACATAAAACATATTAAAATTTTAATCAATATAAAAAATCTCAAAAAAATTTGAAACTTCGATGTACCTACTCCAACTATCTCATGATTTGTAACTATTATAACCGGTTGTTTTTATCATTTAATTGAAGGTAATTTTGATCTTTTTATCATTTTCAAAATAAACAAATTGAAGGTAATTTTGATCTTTAAAGTAGCCGAAATGGACCTCTCTCTCTCACGGGCATCCAAAGATTAGAATGAAAAAGAAATGAAATTCTAGACTGAAACAAAATGATCCTACAATCAAAGGACCAAATTGAAATTTTTTGAGTAAATAGTACAAACGTATAATGTGAATGAGTCTGAATTCACAGTGAAATCGGATGCTTGTCTACGGTGAAACACACAGTGCATAAATAGTAAGTGTTACTTTTCTTTTATTTGCCTTTTAGATATGGGTTAATATTTTTCTACATCTCTCTACTTTTTTTTTAATGTTTAATAATAACATCCTTCTATCATTTTTTTTAACATCAACTCGGTACGTTTATTTTCGCCATCATCACATCTTTCAATTATTTCTGGGTAGTAACACCATTAAAAAAGGGCATGTGTCACACTTTTATAGCATGAAATTTTTGTTTAAGTACAAATTGATTTCTGAATTTTTTAAAAAACTATTTTGATCCTTGTATTTTATTTTTCTTACAAATAAGTCATTGGTTGAAACTATTTTGGCCATCATATTTTTACAATAAATACAATTTAGTCCTTGAATTTTTTTTTGAGAAAAAATATTTTTACTTTGATTTTTCTTTCTTATATTATCATAAATATATTATTTTTGTTTTCTATAATATCATATATCAATTATGAACTTTTTCTTCTTCTTCTTCTTCTTGGTTTTTAAGTAAAAATCAGATTTTTTTTTCTTTTGAATAGAAAGAAAATCATCGCAATAGATATATAGTATTATATAAAGCATCCTTGTGCTCTTCATTTATGATTTAAACGGCTCCTCTACTTTTTAAAAAAAAAAACAATGTTAATAGCAATCTAGTATGTTACATTTTTGTTAGGGATGGCAATTTCACATGACCCACTAGACACCAAACATCACACAATCCAATTGGGTCGGTTTTTCACCTAGTTTCACTTGAGTCGAGGGCGAGGGCGGGTGGAGGGTCAACTTGACCCATCACTCGATCTGATATTTTTCACCCAACAATCTAGCATGTTACATTTTGTAACAAATTATGGGTTCACAGAACAAACACACTAGGTTTAATTAAATATGCCCAGTGGGCCTAGAGGCCCAATAACCTCATTTTTTTCCTATTTTTTAGCTATTTCTCTAGGTAAATTAAATCTTAATTTTTCATACATATTTCTTATTTTCATGCCTAGTCTAGATTTAATTGTTTTGAAATTTTTGAACTCTTTATGCCTATTTAGTTTAACGCTTAACCTTTAATTTTCTTTCGGTATTTAAATTTCAATTTAGCTAATATTTAGTATTAATTAAATCTGAATTTTATGATTAGATTTTAGACTTCTATAAATGTGTATTTTCATATTTTATTTTAATATTAAATATGGCTTGAATAACTAATAATTTAATTAGGTAATTAATAGTTAGATGAATCATCAAGTCTTCTAATTTTTAGGCATTGATGACGATTCTCCCTCGATCTTAAAAAATGAAGATGATAAAAAAATGATAAAAAAGGAAAAGAAAAGAAGAACAAAAAGAAATAGAGAAAATGCTATGTGAAAGTTAATAAGTTTTATATTTAATAGGGACCGATATTAACTCAAATTAATCACATTTTAATAATTAGGTCATTTTTTGATATACCGATTACGTCAAGAATTAAACTCGAATCCGATGTTGAATTGACAAGACTCTTAACGATGAGGTCCGATGATCGATTCAATATAATGTAACAAATAAAAATAAAGAAAATCAATTGGCTTAGGAAATAAAATTTGGAATTTTGACTTAGGAATAATTTTGGAAAATAATAGAATTTTTTTTAAAAGATTAAATTTTAGGATTAAACTAGACATGATACTTTTTTAGGAAAGAGTGCTTTTGATGATTGATATTTTCTTAGAGGCATAACCAACTCTTTACCTTAAAATCTCTAAACTAGTGTCATTTTTAGGTTTTCTAATTCTTCTAATACTAGGTGTCAACTCCAAAACGTGGTTTAACTCACATCCCGAGTAAATAAACAAAAACAAACTAATATTGAATATAATATTTTTTAAAGTCCTCTAAATATCGAGTAGCGACAGTTGATGTCACTAACACCATTAAAAATTGATAGTGTCACGTTCTCAAAACATGAATTCCTTGCTAACATATATTTCGATCCCTAGAATTTCTTGAAATTTTTATTTTGGTCATTGTAGAGTTTTTTCTTACAAGTCCTTAATTGAAAATTTCTTGGTCATCATAGTTATAGTATTATAAAATTTAGTCCTTGAATGAATTTTCTAAAATCAAATATCTACATGTCAAATCATAAAATTACTCAAATAATATATATGAGTTGATGGACAAGATAAGAGTCAAGTAGATTTAATTAGGTATATCTATTTAAATTAATACTAAAAAATGAAGGAAAGAAAATTTCTCATAATATCATTTATCTATTATGGAAATTTATTTTTTTTATTTTTTTTAATTTTTTTCTAGATTTTTTTAGGTTTAAATCAAGAAAATGAATTTTTTAAAAAAGAAGTAAATTATGGCAATAAATATGTGATATTTTGGGAAACAAATTAATGTTTTTTTTTTTTAAAAAAAAAGGTATACCTATTTAAGTCAATTAACTTTGACCTTAGCCATAAACCCATTTAAATTATTTAAGTTTTTTTTTTTTTTTTAACCAAGTTTACAATATGGATATAGGGACTTAATTTTAAATTCTTTTCATTTAGGGACTAAATTGTAAATGATTGTAAAATGTGTTGGCCAATAAACTTTTAATTAAGGACTCATTTGTTAGAAAATATACTACAAAGACCAAAATAATTTTTTCAAGATACTCTTTAGGGATAAAAATGTATATTAGAGAAAAATTCATCATGTGAGCACACAGCACTATCAATTTTTAACTGCGTTAGTGACACCAATTCACAGAAAGATGTAAGGATAACTAAAATATAACGTACATGATTGATATCAATATAAAATAGAAGAGTGATTTTTTTAAATACAAAATAAAGAGTGCACTAGTGGTTTATGAAATTATTAATACTTTTAGATATTGAGAAACTATTCGGTATGCCGAGAATTGTACTCTCCTCTTTCATATGATGGTGAGATTCATAAATAAATTTAATAAAATGGTTGTTGTTTTTATAAGAGATCATAATACAGTTCATGACATACCTAATAATATCTAGTAGATGACATTGATTGTTTGACCAAAAAAATTGGTGAAAATATAGTCAAAACGCCGATCAAATAAAACGAAATTTGGCCAATATTAATAGCCAACACACCCTTTTCGTTTATATCCTTGAACGACTTCCGTTCCGTATACACATAATGCAGTTGTACTATGCCAATTAAATTCTCAAATATAATTAATCTCACTAGAAGAAATTCTCTGATCAAATTATTGTGTAATTAATAACCAGCAGGAACACAGCAAATCTTACATGCTAACAGCCTGGCCCGTACGTGTATACTTTCTGTGGTTAATAAAACGAAGCAATCAGTTCGGTGCTGGAACAAGATGACAGATACATTTTACTTTATTTTTTCGGTAAGAAAACGGTTGTACAAATAGACTGGAAACGACAGGATACAAATCTACAAGCATAACAAAGAGTCTCCAGCATAAACAGCGCAGAACAGCTTTTGATCCATTTTTCTCCTCTACATCTATGGAAAAAATTATATTCTCCATTCTTTCTCCAAATTCAAAACTCAAAATCTTTGAGACCGGCTCAATCTTGTTTATGCCTTTGAACTCTACATGTGTTACCAGCAGGCTAGCACATATGGGTTTTGTTTTTTTGTTGGTTTATCGTGCGTAGTTTTCCTCATCTTCGTAACGTACCAGGATTTGAAACATGGCCCTGATACGGTGAAACCCTCTCTCAACATATCTTCCTTGACCTTCACAGAGTTGCACCTTGGTACGGGTAACTCTAAGAAATTGGACGTCGTCTGGAACGCCAGCCTGAATGTATTTGCTAAGAGTCCTAAACCCTCGGCAAGTTTCCGTACAAACAGAGGATCATTTGCTGTCATTAAATACAAGGATTTTAGTGTTTCATGCGGAGAATTAGTGGAGCATGAAAAGGAATTACGCATGGGTGTTGGAAATGTAGCAACACTGCAATTTCAAAGTGAGCCTTGTGGTTTCTCGAATCAAATGGAGGAGGAATTGGGGACTCAGTTAAGCAATGATTTAAATCAAAAACAGGTGAGGCTTGGTTTAAATTTGAAATTTCGTTTTAGTTTTAAGAATAGGGCGTGGAGCTGGGCCAACGTGCTTGTTACTTCATTTTGTGATAATTTGCTCATTCAATCTGATACAGCACAAGGTCAGTGGTTATTCAAGGAAAACGGATCTTCGGCTTGTAAAGTAAATACGCCAGTTATTATCCAATGATTTTGTTGTTTCATTTGTTTATTGTAGTAGAATTAATTGTAGCTAGCTAGTCAAATTGCTTCCTTTTTCTTGTATGTAAATGTCTAATTTTATGAGAATAATTTATGTGTCTGCATGCTAATTCCATTAAGATAGTTATTAGTATGCATGGCTATATTCTACTGTTAATTATGTTTTTTTTCTCATTGCTACGTTATTTTTATGTTTTTGCTCCTTCTTTAAGATAGGACAGAGAATTCATGATTTTAATTTTTTTTTTTTTTGCTGGATCGTCTTTTTTGTTCTTGTCCCAGAAATGTGATGATGATACTGGAATGCATCGTTCTAAATATAAAGTGATTTATCATATTATACTACGCTTACTTGGCCCCTAAAAAAATTTGTTGATGTCTAGAGATTGTATGTACCGGATCAAATAAACTCTTTTAGGCTCCGGTGGCTGTGGTTTTGCTTTGACTTCAAAAGATTTTACTTTACTCTGGTACATACAATTTATGGAAGATTCAGCAAGAATATTATCATCCAAAAGTTAATTGAGCACCACAAAGTAGTCTGCAATGTTACCTCTAATGGGTCTTACTGCCTTATATTGAGTGGAACTCTAAGGCCTTGAATTGGCCTTAGGAGGCCAAAGTTATTTGGGAGTATGTCTCTTAGTTTATGTTTTGGGTTACATAATGGGCCTAAAAGTTCAAAACAAAGAAAATAATGTTCGTAAAGTCTCGGAGCTCCCCCACTCCCACAATAATATGCCCACAGCCCGCTAGAATGTCTATTAATTAGACTCTTTGACCGCTTGCCTAAACGAACATTGAAAACTCTCACTATATGTTACAGTAAATCTTTTCTCTTGGCTTCCTCGTTTACTCCTAACCTCACCTGAGCAATATAATAGGAATGCTTTAGTAATAATATGATTAGACATTCGGAGGATTAATGTAATTAACACGAGAATTCAATTTGAGTAATTGCGCCCGACATACAAGTACATCCACCTTTGGATCCAACATGTTGGTGTCCTGAGCAAATTAATTTGTCAATCTAAATATCAAAATTAAGGAATCGAGTCCTTCCTTAAGAACAATACATGGTTTAATTCATGCTCTTCTCATGTACCGTGTTCCTCTCCTCCTTATGGTCTTAGCAACTTGCTAATAGATTATTTTTCTGGCGTTGGCAGTGGCAGTCCTTGGTGGCTGCCTTGTTATCCTTTGTACCCCAAAAAACAAAAAAAGAAACAACGCATGGTAGGTACCATAGGAACCCAATTTGTCAGGGTCCAACTCCATGTGCCAAGCAACATATTAAGGTGGTACTGAAAGTGTAAAAAACTGAAGCGTGAAGATAACGAAGCACAGATAGGGTCAAGTCGAGGCGAACATGACAAGTGTCAAACTTCTCAAAGGAACTAGAACATCGCATTACTTTTGTTGATCTAGTCATTTGAAGTGAGTTAATCTTAATAAAATAATAATAATTTAAATAAATTTGACACACATCGAGAAACCTAATGCAGTTCTTTTTTAAAAACTATGATGCACTAGCTAGGAAATTTCCTTTGCAGCCTTCATGCACAAGCAAATTCTATAAAACCATGCACGGATAACGAAAGCAAGTAGCTGTTGCATGACGTATATATATGTACGCGGTTGAATTTTATTTGAAGAAATTATTCTTTAAATCTGTTCTAAAAAGTTGAGCAGGAAAATAATTGTTTGCAAGTGTTGTCTCGCACGGTCATTAAGCTGATAATGGTTAGAAATCATGAATGGTGCCCCAAGTAGCAGAATTTTTTCAAATCAACCCTACTGAGTGAATTTTATACTTTCAATTTACCAGTGATTCGCACCTCCTCCATCAATTTCTGTAATGTGGCAGCACTTGGAAGCCATATAATGTCCAGGAGTTGGATGAAGAGACCATCCATTAGAAGTTGGAAGAAGATGGTTCTATTTGAGTCGAAATAAAATAGAAGCGTTTAATTGACCAAATGTTAAAAGAGTTATCGGACCATGCTTAGTATTTACTTGGATCTTCCTGCCCTCAAAACTCTTAACCAGGAGAATGTTCGTTTTGGACTCAAAGCTGAGGGCGATGATACGCCCAAGCAAAATTGAAAAACTGAAATAAAACTCTATCCATAGTCTATGGTTGCCACTCGTCAACCTAGTTTGGTTAGTGACTTAGTGGTATTCCCTTAGTTAGCAATCTAACTTGACCTAATAGAAAAATAAAAGACAATATTTACACCATCTAAATTCCAACATTAGTGAACCAAATGGTTGTTTAACTTAATAGAGGCCAGAAGCAACCAAAGTTGCCGCACCTACAATTAATTATGTTCTTGAGCTACCACTTAATTAGTGTCAATGCATGAAATAGTAAGTTTACCTGATAATAAAGTCATTTGATGTTGCTAACCTACAATCATGTTAGTTAATCTCACAACTTACATATAATTAGAGCAATTAAAAGAAGATGGGGCCACTGATCTTGTCATTACAATTATCGCATTGGTTTCGCTAGGCTAGAAGCTGGAACAGTGCGTAGGTTAAATTGCGAGGACCTGACTTCCCTGATAGAAGCAGCAGCAGCGATACTACAATGCACAAGCTAGGAAATTTCCTCAGCCTCCTTGATGCATAAGCAAATTCCTGAAGTTCTCAACTGAAGAAAACAAGAGTTAGGATCGTTTATTTTCAATGAACAAGTTGACTTTTGGCAATTTCTTCTTACAATAATAAGTCAACAAATATATGGCCATAAATGCAAACGGGTAACTTTCAGTTCAAGGCTTTAAACAGAGAAAATTCCACTTTTATAATTAAAGACGGGCATCACCTACGCAAAAACTTAGGATATTTTTGGTCCAGATGTGACCTATCTTTTTATGGATTATATATATAATAACAAAGACAAGAGATCAAAAAAAAAAAAAAAAAAACTATTGAAAGCTCAAGAGTTCAAGTGATCATTGTTATTTTTATAAGTGGATCTACCCATTTAAGTTGGTCATGTGAGATGATAATCATATTAATATAACCATATAACTGAGTAACAAATTATTAAATCCACCTTGCCATATTAGTATTAATTTCTTATTGACATGGGCATGCCTAGAGTTAACCAAACAATAGGTCAAAAAATTCTGATCATGTAATACAATCCATAAGATATATATATATATATTGGCGGGGGCCGAAGAATCCGAACCTGCTATTTTGCTTTGATCATGAAATCTCGATTCGTTAATCTCGGTAGTTTAACTACCTTTTTTTTTTTTTTTTTCTGTACTGCTCAACCAACTTTTGATTATACAGGTAGACTATTAATGACGTTACAATGGCGTGCAAGCCTCTCTCTCTCTATTGTGTGGCGTCAATTTCAAGAGTCCATCAAGCATGATTAATAAAATATATTTAATTTTAACTTCAAGGTTATTTTTTGTAAGTAACTTATGATCTTAGGAAAAAAATAGCATATGATAAAACTGAGTTACGTAATAAATATTTTTAACAAAAAATATTCAAAAACAACTTTTTCGAGGAATGGAGGTGGTATACGTTAATCAATAAGTTAAAATTTAAATTTTTGATTAAATAAAAAATTTGACTCAATTTTGTAACTAATTTTTTAATTTAAGTTAAAAATTATTTCTAATCAAATATATTTATAATTTTTCTTTGAATCAAAAGTTATAAAAGAACAACTCATATTAATATATAAAAACCATATCAAACAAAACCTAATTACTTTCCTAGTTTTAGATTTTCAATTTTCGCTTTTAAGAACTAATTGGAATTCTTTTCAGGTTGAAGATTTGAGATTTGTATATGAAGATCTTATGGGACGGAATTTAAAAGTAAAATAAGAAAAACACGATAGAAAAGCATCATCATTTCATCTTCAAATTTATAATAACAATTAGCTATAAGACTTGAAAGGTTGCAATCATACTTTTTTTTAATGGTGTTTGATGTGCTTGGGATATACGTACGTATACCACAAAGAACCCACTATTCAGCGAAGGCTTGTCCAGTCTTGTCGTGGGCAAAATGACTTATTTTTGAGAAATTATTACAAATTCATGTATCATATATCAAACGAATTTAACTGTTTCAGACAATTAAATTTGTCCAAATTATCTATTTAGTAAAGCATATTTAAAATGTGAATTTTTTTATATTCAACAACACATTCATAATTATGAAATAAACTAATTAATAATGCATACATCACCAAATAACGTAGACAAATTTTTTAGAGAAGTCCTCGTATTCATTTTTTTTAAAAAAAAAATGAACAAATTTAATGATGAGTAAAATTTTTATTGATTTGCTCTATAATCTGGAGTGAATAATAATTTCTCACTTACATCTTACTAACCAAAATAACAAATTGTACACTTATTAAATGCTTGAACATTTTCAGAATTGTCCTTATCAAGTAAACAGTGTTCATGACATCATCACTTTTATCCGATGGTACTCCGTCAATTCTAAATACACAATTTCTATCAATCTCTGAAATCATAGGTGGCAAGAAAATTGATTATCCTACCCTTATCTCCATACAATTTGACAGGGCTTATAGCTATATAAATAGTCATGAGGTTTGTGGTTAATGATTCACCGTCTTTTTTCTTAATTTTTATTTATTTTCTTACTTTTATACTTGTATTATTGTTTTTTAGGCTATATTTATTTGGTGAAAAATAATTTTTAATAGAAAAATCAATTCTGAAGTTTCTAATGTTTGACAATTACATAAAAAATTGTAGAAAAATATATTCCAGCATTTAGTTGATACGGAAAACTGAAATATAAAAACAAGTTGTGATTATTATATCAATAAGTTTTAAGAAAACTTCAATAAGACATATTCATAATTTCACAATATAAGATGCATTTAGAAAATTTTAATAAATTTTTATAAATATTGACTCCAATATTTAAATTCAAAAAAAAATGTATATTATTAACCATCAAACCAATTCATCA